CATTATAGAAGACCTCCTCCCAACCCCCTGCCATGGGCAGGGACACCTTCACATTAGACCAGGTTGCTCAAGGCTTCATCCAATCTGGCCTTGAACACTGCCAGGGTTGGGGCAGCCAATGCTTACCTGGGCAACCTGTGCCAATGTCTCACCACCCTCACAGGAAAAACTTCTTCCTAGTATCTAACCTAAATTTTCCTCTTTCAATTTATACCCATAGTTTGACAACTATGCGCATGGATTCGCTGAACACAATCAGCTGCAAAAAAACAAGAAGGTAACACCTTTTGTTTATCATTATTTGTTTCACAGATCCTGCAAAGAATTGCTCAGTTAGCAGCAGTTTTACTGGGATAACCTGACCCCAAGAATTTTAACCTTGCCCTTACCTGGAAGAGGAGGCTTTGCTGGCCTGTTTCTGGATCTCTCTGTTTGGTCACTGTAAAGAAAATAAGAAAGCTGAGAACATCTCACAGCAGAGTGACAGCAGCAGTATTCCCACCCGACCAGATGCACAAAGCTTCCAACAACAAAACATTACAAGATTTTTGTTCCATTTATCAAACAGAATTTCATATTGTCTTTAACGAAGATACTGCTGTGAGGGCGGTGAGGCACTGGCACAGGTTGCCCAGAGAAGCTGTGGTTGCCCCATGCCTGGAACTGTTCAAGGCCAGGCTGGACATGGCTCGGAGCAACTTGGGCTAGTGGAAGATGTCCCTGCCCATGGCGGGGGGAGAATGAGATTTAAGGTCCTACCAACCCAAATCATTCTGGGGTTCTATGATACTACTGTGCCCTCAAGACAAGAAAGACACTGAGGGGCTGGACTGTGTTCAGGGAAGGGAAGGCTCTGTAGCACAAGTCTGATGAGGAACAGCTGAGGGAGCTGGGGGGACCCAGCCTGGAGAAAAGGAGGCTCAAGGGAGACCTTCTCAATCTCTCCAACTCCCTGACAGGAGGTGCTGCCAGGTGGGATCAGGGTCTGCTCCCGGGGAACAAGGGACAGCTCAAGAGATAATGACCTCAAGTTGCACAGGTTTAGACTGGATATCAGAGAAAATTTCTCCATGAAAAGGGTTGTAAAGCACTGGCACAGGCTGCCCAGGGCAGTGGTGGAGTCACCATCCTTGGAAGTGTTCAAACATATGTGGATGTGACACTTGGGATCATGACTGGCTTGGCAGTGTTAGGTTTACCGTTGGACTCAATGACCTTAAAGGTATTTTCCAATCTAAATGATTCTGTGATTTTACTAAGGATCTCTACTGAAATTCAGCTGCTGTGGGGCAAATCCATTGCACCGAAGAACAAAGATAGGAAATAAAGAAGGCAAGTTTTGGACTGAAGGCCAAAAATTTGGATTTCAGAGAAAAAAACACGAGCTCTGTGTGCAACCAGTGATTTCCAGCACCAGCGAAAGGCACACAGCAAAAGGAGAGATGAAATGCTATCACTCCTGCACCACTGCTAATCAGGGCTGAAAGTCTGAGCCACACCAATCTGTTATTAAAGTGGTGCTCACTCTCCTGTCAGCAGTAAGATGTTTCACAGGCAATTTAAACGATAAAGGACACTGGGAGATAGCACATCTCTTATTCACAGGCAGAGCTGCTAAAAAGCCTTATGAATAATTCATAGCACTGCACTGCAGGCAGTGTCCAAAGGTACCAGGTCCCTCCTGGGCACCCCCTGACCACTCACCTTTGTAACCTGGACGCCCAATTTTCACGAATTTCTTCACTTCCACCTTGACCTTCTCTGGTGCAGGCTGGGCAGGAGCTTCCTTGGCTTCCTTGGCAGCTCGCCGGGCCCTGGGGAGAGATTCAAACCTTTAAAGCTTGGCTGCACTAAGGGATACACAGGAGCAGTTGGAATCCCCAACCATGGGATATTGGGTGCTTCACAGAAATCGAACCTGAAAAATTTATTTCCCTTCTCCATGCCTCACTCCAGGCCAGTTGTATCCATCCTTCCCCTGTCTAAAGGTTGTCACTACTCTCCACCCACAAGGTGACCTGAGTGCTGTCTCCACAAATAGAAGACTTTATGCTTGAACTCAAAAAGAAAAAACCCACAGGTAAAGCAAAGCAAACTGGATTCCTTCAAATAGAACTTCCAAATTTCTTCCAACCTGTATTGACAAATCCAGATCACAGAATCATGGAATATCCTGAGCTGGTAGGGACCCCCAAGGATCATCAGTCCAACTCCTGCCCTGCACAGGACACAACAACAGTCCACCATGTGCCTGAGAGCATTGGCCAAACACTCCTTGAGCTCTGGCAGGCAGAGTTCCTCTTCACTAGTCTCAGACATTGGCTTTAAAATTCATTTTCCCTTTTCTTTCAGAAATTCCACAACTGGACTTGAACTTGAGCTCAAAATTGGTATTTTCAGCATCATTTTTGGAGCAGATCCAGGCTGTACCTTCTGGCTGGTGCCAGGCTGCTCACCAGGAAACACAGTGAAAGAACATTCAGGCACAGTAAAATACAGGGTAATTCAGGCTGCTGTATAATGCAGTTTAAGGTTTATAGATCCATGCAATCATATTTGCAAAGGGCTTCAGTAATGGAGAATAAAGTTATGGTAAAGAATCACTTACAAATTGGTCTGATGCTTCTTCCCCTGGGTATGTGCTAAGTAACTCCCCTGAAATAGAAACCAAAGTAGACATTAAATGAAGACAGGACTGAATGACTCTTGTCAGAGAGACTATCACACACTGACATGGATATTTTAACCCTTAGCAGAGAGGAATCCCACTCCAAAATTGCAGAGCTGTTACACACTGTCAAGTCTCACACACAAGGACCTGCCCATACCTCATCGCTCAGCAGCCACAGCCAAGGTTCTGGCACTTGAAGCTACTGTTATCCCAAACTTCCTGCTGCTGGGATCAGGACAGATAGGTGTTGCTCACCTCATTGTTATGCAGTGTCAGGCAAAGTTTGCACTCGTAGGAGCCCAAGTGATTTTTCATAAAATAGGGATCCTAGGGAGAGAATGATTGACAGGTTAAGAGCAAAACATGTGGAAAAGCAACAGAATAACCCAAATATTCCTGAGTTCTTCTGCACTGGAAGAACTGGTTCTTCCCCCAGAGGGTGTTTGGGCACTGAACAGCTCCCCAGGGCAGTGATCACAGTCCCAAGCCTGCCAGAGCCCAGTGAGTGTTTGGCCAATGCTCTCAGGCACACAGTGGATTGTTGGGGTGTCCTGTGCAGGACAGGAGTTGGACTGATGATCCTTGGGGGTCCCTTCCAACTTTAGATATTCTATAATTCTATAACTGAGTTCAGAATTATAATTAACAGTACAACAGAGCTTCAGGAGGATGAAAATGGAGAAATAACAGCAGTGTGCATCACTGACAGAATTCCCAAGTGCAGCAAAAACCAGCACAATACAAACCAGCCCTGAGGAGAAAATAGCTTGAACACACAAGTGCTGGAACCTCCCTGGTCCGCCCCAACCTGAATGTTCCTCGTCCAAACCCCACATTCCCAGAAACAGAAGTCTTCAAACTCAAGCCACAATGCAACCTGGAGAAAAGAATTCTCTGGGAAGAACTTAGAGCCCCTTCCAGTGCCTAAAAGGGTTCCAAGAGAGCTGCAGAGGGACTTGGGATAAGGACCTAGAGGGACAGGACAAGGGGGAATGGCTTCCACTGCCAGAGGGTAGGGCTAGATGGGATACTGGGAAGGAATTCCTCCCTGAAAGGGTGGTGAGACACTGGCACAGGGAGCACATGGCAGCTGTGGCTGTTCCATCCCTAAGTGTTCCAGACCAGGCTGGACAGGACGTGGAGCAAACTGGGTGGAACGAGATGAGCTTTACAGTCTTTCCAACCCAATCCATGATTCTAACTCTCCTTTAACTCTCTCACTCCCCAAGCCCTTTCCCTCAGGCAGAGCTCCAAGCCTGACCCCACGCCAGGCTGCAGAAGGGCCCCCGTGCCTGCTCTGACCTTGTTGATGTCGATGGTCTCCAGCGCCAGCTGCCGCAGCCTCTCCCGTCGGTCACGGTTGCTCTCCGAAGCAGAGGCTACACCTCCACTGCCAGTTTTACCTCCAGGGCGATGCTGGAAATCCATGGTGGGGAATTCTGTGCTTCAACTCCTTCTGGAGAGAAAGTCTGGAAAAATAAGGCGAAGTAATGCATAACTGAAGCTGAGTTCACAGACAGTTTAGTCCCATCAGCGAGGGCATGGGATGAGCAACCCAAACACGCCCTGGGCACGTGCCACAGGATGTGATTCCACATGGAGCAGGTCTGGTACCCCCAACTCAGTAGGGAGAAGGAAAATGATCCAGAAAAACAACCCTCAGAGCCCTTCCCATCTCCTCAGACGCTTTCACACATAGACATATCCCCCTAAGTTTAGCTGGGCCCCAGCGAGGCTGAGACTCCCCCCAGGACCCCCAAAAGGAACCCCTACCCTCACCTGATGGCAAAGCCCCAGAACTGCTGCCTCTTCACCATCCCTTTGGCACTGCCACACCACCCTGACACCCCCCAAAGCCCCAGAGCCACCTCCACACAGTCCCAAACCCCCTGTGAGGGTCAGAGCCCCCCAGTTCCCCAGCAAGGTCAGGGACTCTGCGCAGTGACCTCAACCCCCAGGTGAGGTCTCAGCATGGTCTGAGCCCCCCACAGACACCGATGGAGTTCCAGTACAGGTAAGATCTTTGCAAGAAGGGCCAGAGACACCCCAGCAGGTGCAAAAGTCACCTTCAAACACCCCCAGCCAGGGTCAACACCTCTCAAACACCCCCAGACCCTCAGCAAGGGACAAATCCCACCCTCAGGCACTACCAACATCTCAACAAAGGCCAGAGCCCCCCTCAAATTCTCCTCAACAGGGATCAGCCTCCCTCAACAACCCCAGCAAGGGCAACCTCCACACACTCCCAAGCCCTTAGCAAGGGCCAAGTCCCCCCCACCCCACACAGCCCCAGGCCCTCAGCAAGTGCAAAATCCCCTTCCAAGTACACCCAACACATTATCAAGGGTCAACTCCCTTCCACAAATATCACCGAACCCCTCAGCATGGATCAGCCCCACCAAACACCACCAATCCCACAGCAAGGGTCAAAGTCCCCCATGAGTGCCTCCCAATACCTCGGGAAGGGCCAAAGCCCCTCACAAACACCCCCAACCCCTTAGTGAGGGCCAAAGCC